TACATCCATTGGAGCTTAAAGGATCTGACTTGGAATTGGGTCGAATTGGAAGGGAAAGGGAGCGGGGGATATACGCAGGCAGATAGGGGGTGGGAGGGAGGAATTCTACCGCCGTATCATCTCTCCCTTTTGGTTGAGCCTCTGCGTCGTTATACGGATCTAACCGTCCCTTCGGAAATTACGCCAATGACTCTCGGAGTAAAATATCAGAGACAAATTGTCTCAAAGCGATTTCAATATCACTCTTGGATTTTACTAGTAAACTGTCAATGTTTAACTTTTTTTCCTACATAATACACATACCACACGGAGAGAAATTGTTGATAAAAATTATCCTACCGCTCTATAAAAGTGTATCATGAGTCATCGTTTCCTCATTTCTACCCCGAAATTGAGTAAAAATTAAGATAGGGGAGGATGGGGCAAAACGGCCCCCCTTCAATCGTCAATATTTTCCGATTCAATAATCCGATTGGGATGAGTTAGAGCTCGTTTTGAAGAATGAAAAATTATCTTCAAAATGAAGTTGAAACTGGGAATTTTCACAATGTCATTCACAAGTTATTGACAATTGAAGAGGGGCCGTTTTGCCCCACCCTCCCCTATGATGATCAAATTTTATTCTACGTTAGAGAAATTTTATCCTGATAAAAATAAAAATTAGCGTGCCGGTAGAGTGAAAATTACTGTACCGGTAGCGTAAAATTTACCAACCGTTCTAGAATTTTCGTTGTTATCTACATAAAAATTATTGGACTGGAAGGATTAAATTTGTTATGCGTCAGGATAAAATTTCTCTAACGTTGAATAAAATTTGATCATCATATATTAATTTTTCTCTTACACCCCCCCTCCCCTGAAATTTTTACAGAACAATAAGATAATTTTAATCAAAAATTTCTCTCCGAGTACCAGCTGATATTTCATTATTACCACGAGAATGTCAGGATGAAAATGCCTCGAGTTCTTCAGGGGTCACGTAAATTCTCGGCATACTCAACTCCGCAGTCAATATTGATTCAAAATCATGCATCGTTATATAATATATCGATAGTCGGGTGTGTGGTTAGTGGTCACTATTATTAAATCACGCAACTCCGATCGCGATGTGCGCTTGCCTCTCGGTGCCTCTAGCGCGTTGCGAACAGCTCGTGTGATCATAGTTATAATAACGTCGATGCAGTAATTAAACGGTGCACTTGGAAATGGGGGTTGAAATCGAGTGCATTAGCGTCATTGGAATAAATAAATAAACGATACATGGAAGACTTGTGTCTGTGTCAGGATGGCGAGGAGAAATGGTACGGAGGAACGACAAAACCCCGGAAAATTAGTGCGAGAAATCGAGGGAATTCGTTATAGAGTAGTGTTGCGGTCCAATTGATCCAGGATTTCAATTAACTCAGGCGAGTGTACAGAGACCCTTGTGGGGGGTAGGAAAAAAAGAGTAAACGAGAAAAGAAGATGAAGCACTCGAGTGAAACGAAACAGGTGGCGAATGTGAGGAGGAGTCGATAGTTAGTGGCGGTTTTCAGTTTACAAAACCTCGGAGCTTGGCCACAACTCCCTTTCCAATGGCTCCTCCAACCGTCCACTCTTTTCTAATTCCCTCAGCAGTATTGACCAGTACCCACTCGTCGAAAAGTCTCCACTAATTGTTACCGACAGAGTTGAGTGTGTCGCCTCCAGAGGACAATTCGATCTTGTGCGCTCAAATAGTCAGGGCTGCCCGTTAAATAGAAACTCGACACAATCGGCGGGTACGTTAACGTTGCGAGTTGTTTCCTTGGAATACACTTGGGGGAATGTGCAAACGACTCCTCGTTTCCCACTCGATCCGTCAATCGAAACAACTCTAGCCCAAATAACAACGAACTCCTCTTCATTAGAAAAATTGACCCAACGACACTCGGTCTTCGCTTGTTTATCAGGTTAATTGGATCCCTTTGAAATGTTTTTTCTCTCCCATTTACGTTTTGTCCGAGGAATTCATTGCACCTCACTGAGAATGTACACATGAGAATCTGATGGGAGAGAATGCACGTTCGAGGACGAGTGAAAAGGCACGAGTCCTGTAATTATCATAAAACTAGATAGATCAGCGTAAAAATATCCGGGGGACATTGCTTGACCAGTTTTCAATGAATATCTCGGAATCTAAGGGAGATAGCAAAATTTTTGTTATAAGCTTTTTGTAGAGCCGATTGAAAGCTACAACAAATATAGTTATGAAAATTTCTCCATCTCCCTTAGATTCGGAAATATTCCTCAAAAACTCAACTGGGAGATAAGTCGACTTAAACCGTTTTACCACTTCGCAACTGAATTCGATCTAGTGCGCAAATAATCAGGACTGTCCGTTAAATAGAAACTCGACACAATCGGCGGGTACGTTAACGTTGCGAGTTGTTTCCTTGGAATACACTTGGGGGAATGTGCAAACGACTCCTCGTTTCCCACTCGATCCGTCAATCGAAACAACTCTAGCCCAAATAACAATGAACTCCTCTTCATTAGAAAAATTGACCCAACGACTCTCGGTCTTCGCTTGTTTATCAGGTTAATTGGATCCCTTTGAAATGTTTTTTCTCTCCCATTTACGTTTTGTCCGAGGAATTCATTGCACCTCACTGAGAATGTACACATGAGAATCTGATGGGAGAGAATGCACGTTCGAGGACGAGTGAAAAGGCACGAGTCCTGTAATTATCATAAAACTAGGTAGATCAACGTAAAACAACCGGAGGGGGATATTGCACCGTAAAGTCTGGCATGTTGTAAACTGCAGGCTTGGGTTTTTCCTGCAGCAACCATCTCATTCCCCCCAATATCGTATATTTCCATTTACCGAAAAGAGAAGTTCGTAAACCTGCGGAGAACATCCAATGCTTTCAGCACAAGAATTCAACATTTTTCCTCCTTTTTCCGGATGAAAATGATACTACTATTGGCTCAGCCGTTACATCTCAACGGTTAGCCCACATGTATTATGATCTCTGAGAGTTCTGTTGTCGACGGAATGTCACCGACAGAATCTAATAGGATATTATCACGGGACATCGACAAAGGATGCCATTTGCGGGGAGTCCCTCACGTGTTATATCAACTATCTCCGAATTAATTCAAACAATTTGAATTTCAGGAGTTCTGGAGATGTTTCAAACTGACTGAGCAGTTGTACAATGTAGAGTGCACTTCGCGGGTAAACTTCTGTGCGCCATTGTGACGAATTATCATATTCTAGGTGCGTGGCAAATTATGCCTCAAGTCGTATTTCATTAATGGGAATATTTTACTGCTGAATACGTGTGCAGTTTAAACGACCGCAGTGGCAAACGTAAAAGTGGCGAAGTGACTTTGGTCAGGCCTCAACCACGCGATAAACCTCGAGTCATGGTAATTCATGGAAATTTCGGGGACATCTCCAGCCATTTATCCTGCTCTGTCCCTCCCCTCCCTCTAGCGCATCAGAGTATCCACGAATTTCCGGTTGCCAACCAGGACAGACTGGAAAAGATGGAAGGGAGGAAATCGATCGATCGGTATAACTCGGTGAATGTAATGTTACGGATGTGTTTCCCACCCTGAACTGGTCGACAGAATTTCATTGGTTTCATGATTGAATTCAATTCAAGTGGTTTAATTAATGAAAACGCACGGTTTTTCGTCGATTTAATTTTCTTTTCTTGATTCTACTCTCCTGTGGAATTGAGGGAATTAGTAGACGGTTTACCAAGGATCTATTATTATATGTTGAATATCGATGACTATACTCTAACCCCAATGCAGTTCTTTCAACGGACTTTTTAATACTCAACAGTGTTGGAGATGAAAACAAGTGCCGAAGCACTGTGAGAACGGAATTTAAATTCATGAATTGCTGAGTAATAATTTTCAGGAAAACGATACGGAATTGGATTTAAAAAAGAAAAACCATGGAATTTCAGATGCAACTGAAAATGCAATGAGTTTATCCATTGATTTTGCTATAACATTTGCTAAAAATGCAAAAATGCCAAAATTCTTTGAATTCAATTAGCCGTTTAAATTAATGAAAACATATGGTTTTTGGCGATTTAATTTTCTTTTTCTGACTCTATGGTCCTATGAAATTGAGGGCATTAATGGACGGTTTATCCAGGCTCCTCGATTATTTTATGTTGAATACTGGGGACTATAGTCAAACTCTAACACAACCATTTCAACGGACTTTGTTTAATCTTCAACATTGTTGGAGATGAAAAAAATAGTGCATTGCGAAACACTGCGGGAAAGGAATTAAAATTCATGAATTCTTGACTAATAATTTTCAGGAAAATGATACTGAATTGGATTTAAAAGAGAAAAACTATGAAAGTTCAGATACAACTGAAAATTTAGTGAAGTTTTTCTATTGATTTTGCACATTTTGAATTTTCAATGACTAAATTCCTTGAAGTTAATTCAATGGCTTTAAATAATGAATTCGATTTAAAAGAGAAGAATCATGAAATTTCAGATTCAATTGAAAATTCAATGAAGTTTTTCTATTGATTTTAAATATTTGTAATTTTCAATGTCCAAATTCCTTGAATTCAGTTCAATCGCTTTAATTAATGAATTCGATTTAAAAGCGAAAATCCACGACAGTTCAGACTTAACTGAAAATTCAATGAAGTTTTTCCACTGATTGTGCCCTAACATTTTGAATTGTCGATGCGAAAATTCCTTGAATTCAATTCAATCGCTTTAATTAACGAAAACATACTTTTTTCATCGACTTAATTTTCTTTTTTTGACTTAACCCTCCGTGAAATCACGTGCGGAGGGACTTTTCTGTAGACGAGTATTGGAGCAATCACTTGAATCTCCTTTGGAATTAATGGAAAAGCGGTTTATCGAGGACCCTCGATTACTTAACGTTGAAAATCGAGGACTACCGGGGGCGGGGGAGGGACTGAGGAGGGACTGAAGAGTAAAGTCCGTATAAATGTACGTGGGAGTCATCTTCTTGCACTCACCTTTGACGGCATTCAGCTTGTTTCCAACCATCTGCTTCGCCACAAAAGCCGCCATTGTTGATACTGCGAGTCTCTCACCGCTGTCTAGTTACTTTAATTCTGCAAACAAACGGGAGAATCATTAGTTATTCCCATGGCGAAGGGTATTGAAATGTTTGTGACGGGTTGCCACTATAAATCCGATTCTGAGGGAGTCTTTCACCCACAGGAGTAATTGGAGGGAATATTAATCTCTTCTTTCCTAATATTACTCAGCAGCTTGTGCATTCCTACCTCATACTTATTTAAATAGTAAATGGATAGATAGGAGAGGAAATTCGGTCATTTTCAAAGCAGCAGAGCTTATTATACGAACTTTCAGTGAATTTTGTCATTGAAAATTCAGAATGTTGAGGAAAAATCAATGGAAACTGTCAATTTTGAGCTCAACTATTCTACGGAAATTGACAGAAAATAGGAAAATACAGGTATATATGTTCATGATTTCATTCAATTCCCTCTGAAATTTGTTCATGATTTTTTTCTCCACCGAAATTGAATTCAATACCACTTTTCAGAAAATTACTAATCAACTCTCCCTGAAATTTCATTTTTTATGGCAGTGTAACCATTAGTTATTCCCATATGGCAAAGGATATTGATATATTTGTGATGGATTGTCCCTACAAATCCTATTTGGAGGGGCTTTTGCCACCCACAAGAGTAATTGGAGGGAATATTAATCTCTTCTGTCTTGATATTACTCAGCAGCTTATGCATCCCTACGTCAGAAAATTAATTCCCTTATCAATGAACTCATACTTATTCTAATACGAAATGCATGGATAAGAGAGGAAGTTGAATAATTTTCCAAGCAGCAAAGCTTATTATATGAAACTTCAAGGAATTTTGTGATTAAAAATTCAGAATATTGTCGAAAAATCAATGGAAACTGTAAGTTTAAATTCAATTATTCTATGAAAATCGATAGAAAACAGGAAAATTCAGGTAAATATATTGATGAATTTTCAATTAATTAAAAAATTCAGCCTCATTTGGTACTGAATACTCATGATCCGATTCAATTCCCCCCGAAATTTGAGAGTTCATGATTTTCAATGCCATTTTCCTCAAAATTACTAGTCAGCTGTCCCTGCAATATCATTTTTTCATCACAATATAATGATTAGTTATTCCCATGGCGAAGGATATTGATATATTTATGAAGAGTTGTCCCAACAAATCCGATTTGGAGGGGATTTTTGCCACCCACAGGAGTAATTGGAGGGAATATTAATCTCTTCTTTCTTGATATTACTCAGCAGCTTATGCATCCCTACGTCAGAAAATTAATTCCCTCATCAATGAACTCATACTTATTCTAGTACAACATGCATGGATAAGAGAGGAAGTTGAATAATTTTCCAAGCAGCAAAGCTTATTATATGAAACTTCAAGGAATTTTGTGATTAAAAATTCAGAATATTGTCGAAAAATCAATGGAAACTGTAAGTTTAAATTCAATTATTCTATGAAAATCGATAGAAAACAGGAAAATTCAGGTAAATATATTGATGAATTTTCAATTAATTAAAAAATTCAGCCTCATTTGGTACTGAATACTCATGATCCGATTCAATTCCCCCCGAAATTTGAGAGTTCATGATTTTCAATGCCATTTTCCTCAAAATTACTAGTCAGCTGTCCCTGCAATATCATTTTTTCATCACAATATAATGATTAGTTATTCCCATGGCGAAGGATATTGATATATTTATGAAGAGTTGTCCCAACAAATCCGATTTGGAGGGAATATTAATCTCTTCTTTCTTGATATTACTCAGCAGCTTATGCATCCCTACGTCAGAAAATTAATTCCCTCATCAATGAACTCATTAATATCCTCTGTTTCCATGCTTCCGGAAATTACAATCTCGTTTCTCTCCTCTAATGTGACCCTGCGGTAATTGAAAAAGGGACGGCGATATAAATCTTTTCTCGTGGTCATGATAAACGATCAGGGAAGTGAGTACGAAGTTTCAGGTTTTCCCTGTGTACTCCCCCCATTTTTTTCCTTGTACATTAGAGGATAAAAGTCAACAAACAAAACCATTGCGGGGACCCCGGGATGGAGTGTCAGAGGAGCCCTGTATGCTGAATCCATAGAGGTGGGGAAATCGATAAGAAAACACTGGGGCAGCGGCAGAGGGGGAGGAAGAGAATAACAGAGTGGGAGTCTGGATGAGTTTCGAGGCTCCGGCGCCGAGACGTCGTGGCGTCGTTTGATTTTCCAATAACGCGTGACAACATCTCTCTGTCTCCCTCTCCAGCGACCTCTTAATGGATAAACCTCGACGTCACTTGCACCTCTTTCCCCTCCGCAGAAGCGTTTAATCATAATATTTTTGTTTTCATACTCCGGTGGAACGTGTTCGTCAATTTTTTTTTCCGGGGTGAATGGAGTAGAGGAGAAGCTTTTTGAAAGGCAGTTCCTAAAAGAGGTCTCTGTTATGCCCTCCGTCATTCGGTATTCAATTGAATAGAGCGAGAGATTTGGGGGTTTCAGGAGGAGAATAGGAGTGAAAAATGCAAGAGGGGGTATTAAGGGGGAGGGAGGCCACAAAAAAGAAGAAATGCTTGGTTCAAGTAGAGCTCGACTTGAATCGAGTAGGAAGACACACCCAGAAAAATGATTTATTTGAATCAAATGAAGTTTGTTTAAATCTAATGAATGAATTTATTTAAATAGTACCAAATAAAGTTTTTTTTAAACTGAATGAAAAATTTTATTCGGAGTTTTGTTTATGTTGAATAAATACATTGTTTGTTTAAGGGGAGACTACTGTGAGTTTTAGAAGTCACGGAATATTGGAGTGAGATTTCTCATGCTTTGAAGATCGATTATATATGTCTAAAAACGAATTATTAATGCAAAAAAATGCTGTTTGGGGTCCGTTTACCCGCAAACGCTTAAAATGTTAAAAATAGTCCAGGGCCTCCAATTTTTGAGCTACAGAGGTTTTTTTTCAAAATTTTTGGGAAAATATGTGCGATAACGATTACGAATTATTTTTTTGAAATTCAACTCCTACACGGCTAATTTCGTTATTATTTCAATAAAAAATTGCACTCTTCATGTAAAATAGCCCGAAAAATATTTCTGAAAGAATCGAGAATATATCTTTAATATTTTAAGGATAATTTTTCGGTCTATTTTACATGAATGGCGTAAATTTTTATATTAAACAAAACGAAATTAGCTGTGTAGGAATCGAATTTCAAAAAATGAATTCGTAATTGTTATTGTACACATTTTTTCAAAAATTTTGAAACAAAAAAATCTCTGCAGCTCAAAAATTGGAGGCTCCGGACTATTTTTAACATTTTAAGCGTCTGGGGGGCAAACCAACAATAAACAATTAATTTTTTGCACTAATTATTCGGTTTTAGACATATATAATCGATCTTCAATGCGTAAGAAATCTCCCTCCAATATCCCACGATTTTTAAAACTCAGTAGTCTCCCCTTAATATAATTAAGTACTTTTTTTGAGACAAGTTTGCAAACGAGTTTATTCATTCGTAGTAAAAATATTCTTGAAATAAGTAAAAAATCTCACATAAAGATTTTTATTTAATTCAAGAGCCATTTTTTTGGGTCTACTCAAGCATTTATCTTTTCTACTTGAATCAAATCAGTAGTGAAGTAGTATCAGTAGTGGTAAACGGAGATAAGTCGACTTATCTCCCAGTTGAGTTTTTGAGGAATATTTTCGAATCTAACGGAGATAGCGAAATTTTCTTAATGACATTTCTTGTAGCACTCAATCGGCTCCACAAAAAAGGTTATAACAAAAATTTTGCTATCTTCCTTAGATTCCGAGATATTGATTGAAAACTGGTCAATAGTCAAAATTGACTCATCTCCTTTTACCACTTCGCTACTGAAATGAATTCCGAAACCATCTTTTTTATTCACAAAATCAATAATTTTTTTTCGGTGTCAGGTGATTTCTATTTGTTTTCACGGTTCTCTTGACTCAGATTGATTAAAAATTCACAAGGATTCGTAAAATAAACTTTCTATCGTTAATACCCCGCTATGAGTTTTTAATCACTAATAATTCGCGGAATAATAATCTCGATAATAACTCGAGATCATAATTTAAACGTAATAAGCGCGTCAACTTCGGGACAATAATATTCCCGGTTTAAAAGTCCAGGCTCTTGTTTTATGAATAATACATTCGGAAAATAAATTATTCCTAAAATGAGAAAAGTTTGCCAGTATTTTGAATAAAAATTCACTTATCTCGTGTCAGTTTTCTGGGAAATATTCAACCGAGACTTTTTTTTCTGCTGTCATTGTCATTCCTCCGTTGATAGTGGGAGTATTCTTCGCGGAATTCTTGATATTGGGGGGTTTATACACTTAGATTGAGTGCCACATGCTGGTGGCTAATTAATTCATCTGGAAAATATTGAGTGAAGTTTGATAGAGACGCCTTAACTCATTGTAAATAGGAAAAAATTAGATGGAGGAAGTTTTAATCTCGTAGTTCTCCTTTTGCTGCAGAAGCACGAGTTACTCGCGATGTACGGAGAAAAATATTTGCCGTAGTTTAACAACTAGTTTAATAAAAGATGTATCAACTGAATCTAGAGCTCCATATCAGGGTTTACACCGGAAATGTTAAACAAGTTGTAAATTTGACAAAAATTTTCAAGAAGTGTTAGCGGAAGTTTCCGGAAGTGTAGGAGAAAAATTTTAAGGGGAGACTACTATGAATTATAAAAGTCGGGGCTACACAGTTGAAATTTTTTTGAAATTTCATGGAAAATATGATAGTAATTCTCATGAGATTGACATTGAATTGGATTTAGGGGAAAAATTGTTATGAATTTTCAAATTCTAGATAGAATTCAAGGTAATTGATGAGTTTCAGTGGGAGTGAGATGGAAATTTCACAAGATGGTTGAATTTTTAGTGGAACAGTAATATTCAGAAACAAAATGACATGAATTTTCAATTTTTCCCTGAATTTTCCTTATTTTGCCAAAATTTCAAAGAATAATTAAACGGACAAATCTAGTATTTTATTGATTTTCAGTTGATTTGA